TAAAACTTCTACCCTGTGCCAGGTGTCTGAACAAGCCAGCATGCAAGGACACCTCTCTCTGGGACATGTCTGTCTGTCTGTGTGTCCCCTTTACCTCTTTCCCTCTTTTCCCACTCCCTGTATGGCCCCATGTCTGTCCTCTGTTATGATGCGTGGTCTGTACTTGTGTGTCCTGTTTCTCTGTCTCTGTTCGTACAGATCTCACCAAGTCAGTCTCTCTCCATAAGAACCCCACACTCATCTTCTCCATGAGCACCTGGGGCTTCCAAGTCCTGGATCATTCACTCTGTGTCCCAGTGACAATGAGAAGAATGTCTGGACACTCTCACCTGTGATCACGACGTCCAGGGGGTCACTGGGAGATGACCACTGATAGGGGGAGTGAGTGACAGAACCATAGCATCTGTAGGTCCCTGCAAGGGTAGTCGTCATGGGACCTATGGAGAAGTTGGCCTGGGAGCCCCCATCATGGGGTTCTCCAATGAGGCGAAAGAGGTCCTCAGTGATCCTCTTTCTGTGCAGAAGGAAGTGGTCAAACATGGTATCTGACCAACATTGCAGGATGACCGTCTCTCCTGATTTCACCAGGGGACCTGGGATTGCCTGGAGGGAAGGCTTTCTGTAGACTCCTAGGAAGAGAGATTGTGAGTTTAGAAGGCATTTCCCTTTCTCGTCCCATCCATGGGACCTGGAATGAGTGAGGCTTCCCCTCCCTGGTGTCTGACTCTCTCTTCCCTCTCTGCGTCTCCGTGCTCTTTTCTGTGCCCATCACCCCTGGAGCAGGTCCCTCCATCTGTCTCCCTCCCTCTTCTCTGTCTCTGTCTCTAGTAGCCCCTGACTCCTTCCCACTGGGCTCAGCCTCATCCCTTGGGCTGTTGTTTCTGTTTCCTGCTAATCTCTTTCCTGATGTCTACGTGGGGGTGGAAGAGGAACCATGACAGGCTGCATGTCCAGGCTCTGAACAGCCTGGTTCAATCTGTTTTGAACAGATTGGAATCCCTGGCAGGAGTAAGGCGGGCACCAGTGTCCACACACCCTGTTCCTGGTGGGGACTGGGAGCCTCTCCTGCCATGTCTGTGCTTCTCCATGGTCCCAGCTTCCATAGGGCGGCCCCTGATGCTGGTTCCAGGAGCATCGACCCCTCCCTATGTGGCCTCAGCATCCCACCCTTGTTGACCTTGGGGTAACCACCCTTCTCCTGGTGTGGTTTCTTTAATAAATTTATTTATTTTGGAGACAGATTCTCAGTCTTTTGCCCAGGCAGGTGTGTAGTGGTGTGGTCTAGGCTCACTGCTCTCTGCCTCCCCCATTTAAGTCATTCTCCTGCCTTAGCCTCCCGAGTCACTAGGATTATACCCTCCCGCCACCATGCCCGGCTATCCTTGTCAGTTTCTTAACTTGTCCTTGCCTTGGGTTCCCGTGTTGTTTCCTGTTGCTGCTGTGGAAAATTATCACAATATGGCAGCAGGAGAGAACACACTGAGCCCTTCCACTTCTGGAGACAGAAATCGGACCCAGTTCTCCTGGGCTAAAATCAGGGCATCTGCAGGGCTGCGTTCCCTCTGGAGACTCAGGGGAGAATCATTTCCCTTGACTTCTCCAACCCCTAGAGGCCACCTGCATTCATGGCTCCTGGCCATGCTCCACCTTCAGAGCCCGCAGTGGCTGGTGGAGTCTCCCTCCCACTATGCTGCTGTAATCCCTACTGCCCTCTTCCTCCTCCTCTCGTGTGGGCACTTGTGATGACACTGAGCCCAGCTGGACAGTCCAGGCAGCCTCCCCATCTCAAGGTCAACTCATCAACAACCTGAGCTCCATCTTCCCCTTCAGTCCCCTGCCCTGTAACAGAAATAGTCACAGGCTCCAGGGATAAGAATGTGGCCATCACTGGGGACAGTTATTCTTCCCACCACAGCACCCACTTCCCTGTATTCAATCC